GAGGAATGTAATATATGCCCATTTTGAATGTGAGATGGACTGAGGGGAAGCCTTTGAGAAGCCTTTTGGAAATCATGGACACTGTGTCCTCCGGGCTAAAGACCACTCAGCTTGTTATCAGTGCACAGTCCAAAAGCCAGTATTCATGATGGTATAGAGGTGCATTAGTGCACATGGTATGGGTGACGTGCACATCTGTGAAGGCACCATTAATGCTGAATGATATATACATGTTTTGGCAACATATGCTGCCATCCAGACGACGTCTTTTTCAGGGAAGGCCTTGATTATTTCAGCAAGACAATGTCAAACCACATTCTGCATGTATTACAGCAGCATTGCTCTGTATTAAAAGAGTCCGGGTGCTAAACTGACCTGTCTGCAGTCCAGACCTGTCACCGCTGAAAACATTTCGCATATTATGTAATTAAAAATACGACAAATGAGACCCTGAACTGATGAGCAGCTGAAATCTTGTATCAAACAAGAACAGGAAAACATTTCACTTTCAAAACTACAGCAGTGTCTCCTCAGTTCCCAAATGTATGAAATAATTATAATTTATATATTTTATATAATATAACAAATATCACAACATTGAATAGATTCTTGCAGATACAAAAATGTACATCACAACAATTTTTAAACCATAATTTTGAAATCCTTTTTGTCTTTGGACTCAAATACAAGGTCGCTGCTTGGCAATTCCTTTGGCGAGGGGCTCCCTTGGACAGTTGTTTGGTCTTGTTTACATTTTGTCCACTAGATGGCCATAAAATACTAACTGATGTATCACAATAACTGATTTTTCTTTATTTTTATCTATGTAATATTAAGGGTAGTTGAGTGGGGGTAGTATTACCTATTACTACCATCTGAAAAAGCAAACTTTTATCTCAGTGTTTGTTTTGAATGCTTATCGGTTCTGCTCAAGATTCTGCTCTTTCACAACGGCAGACAATACAGCACAGTCAGCAGGTGCTGCAATTGAATCCGACCCACATGACCTTTCCTGCTTTACACGCACAAAAAAGAATCTGAATAATGTAATTATTAATTATTCACTAGGAAGATTCTTTAAAGGGGAATTTCCACTGCTTTTCAAAATTACTACATACACTGATCAGCCATAACATTATGACCACCTCCTCGTTTCTACGCTCATTGTCCATTTTATCAGCTCCACTTACTATATAGGTGCACTTTGTAGTTCTACAGTTACAGACTGTAGTCCATCTGTTTCTCTGATACTTTGTTAGCCCCCTTTTACCCTGTTCTTCAGTGGTCAGGACCCCTATGGACCCTCACAGAGCAGGTACTATTTGGGTGGTGGGTCATTCTCAGCACTGCAGTAACACTGACGTGGTGGTGGTGTGTTAGTGTCTGTTGTGCTGGTACGAGTGGATCAGATACAGCAGCGCTGCTGGAGTTTTGAAACACTGTGTCCACTCTCTGTCCGCTCTATTAGACATTCCTACCTTGTCAGTCCACCTTGTAGATGTAAAGTCAGAGACGATAGCTCATCTGCTGCTGCACAGTTTGTGTCAGTCATCCTCTAGTTCTTCATCAGTGGTCACAGGACGCTGTTGGCTGGATGTTTTTGGTTGGTGGACTATTCTCAGTCCAGCAGTGACACTGAGGTGTTTAAAAACTCCAGCAGCACTGCTGTGTCTGATCCACTCAGACCAGCACAACACACACTAACACACCACCACCACATCAGTGTTACTGCAGTGCTGAGAATGATCCACCACCCAAATAGTACCTGCTCTGTGAGGGTCCATGCGGGTCCTGACCACTGAAGAACAGGGTAAAAGGGGGCTAACAAAGTATCAGAGAAACAGATGGACTACAGTCTGTAACTGTAGAACTACAAAGTGCACCTATATAGTAAGTGGCGCTGATAAAATGGACAATGAGTGTAGAAACAAGGAGGTGGTCATAATGTTATGCCTGATCGGTGTAATTCAGTCGTTGAGATGCAAACAAAGTCATTCAGAGTGGTTTGTTGACTTGAAGTTCTTTACAGTGGTGCTGATGGGAACCAGGCATCACGATGTCTACAGCACATACAGCCATTATATGTACTATCCAAACCACCAGTGAACCAACACGTGTCTTCTGGGTTTTTATACATGATGTTGATGATGGTAAAACAGTGGTAAATCTGAAAAAGTCTATTTTCTTTGGGAACTATTTTGCCTTATAACATCTTGCACGTACTCTTCCCACCATGAACTGATTCAAATATAACATTTTAGGCCAAAAACTCATTGCAAAACTATTGTAAAACACTGTCTCGGGCACCTTCTGTGAGGGGGGCATTCAGCTCTTCAGACGTCTGGTTCCTATCACCACCACTGTGAACAATTCTGCCTTGGCTAATTTCAAACCATTCCAAATGACTTTGTTTACATCTCAACCATTTAATTATGAAGAAATTTTGAAAAATTGGTGGAAATCCTCTTTAAAGTGAATAGGCTAGTAAATGTCTGCATCCAAAAAAATAATGTATTATAATGGAATGAATGTAGTGCCTGTTCCTTTCTGTGCATCTTAAAGATAAAAAGCAGTATCAGATCCTTGCATGTGAGAACGATCAGAGGATCAAGTGTCTTTGGACCATTGTTAAACTGATTGGTTTCAGTGAGAGTGATATTCCATGAGAAGGTCAACCCAGCAGAGATTGTCCGAGCCTTTCTCTTTGTCGTTAACATAAAGCAGCATGCAAACTCAGCCTGCCCGCCTTTCACTGATACCTGAGGTAAGCTTTCATTTGAATATTTCAGAATGCAGTTTAGTTCTACCAGTTGATTATATTTATAGAGAAACTCTGTAAATGTTCATATGTATAGTTTACTATGTGTACTTTTTTTAACTCAGTTAAATTTTAGTCACATTACATATTAAGTGTTCTCTTTTTTTTTCATTTTGTACGGAGCCCTTACGGGTCATGGCTAAAAGTTAATGACATTGCGTTCCCTCGCAAATGTTTTGCATTACGATGCAAACGGTTTGCGTTCGCTTGCAAAAGCTGTGCTTTGCTTAATCTCAGAGATGGAGCAGCTCATTGAATTTTACGTTGATCTTGGATTGAAACAGGCGAAACTAGGGGAAACAGCTTTTAACGTTAGCTATGTTAAAAACAAAGCTCTAATATAGGCAATGTTTTGGGCACCTCTTGGGAATGCAAAACATTTGCGAGGGAATGCATTTTTTTGCAAGGGAATGCAAAACATTTGCGAGGGAAATGCATTTTTTTTGCAAGGGAATGCAAAACATTTGCGAGAAAACACATTTTTTGCAAGGGAATGCAAAACATTTGCGAGAGAATGTAATGTCATTAACTTGTTTTTTTACCACGGCCCATAATTTTGTGCTGTTGGTCAGCATGTGGGCTTTTGCTTTGCTGCTCACTTTTGACCTTTAGCATTTTATTGTGGATGAAAGCATCGTGAAAAGAGAAGAGCAGAGCCTGTTTGGCCTTATACTTTCTTTAAAACCTCTATGCAAGTTATTTCATGAACATGGCTCTAATTTAAATGGGAATTCTGCTGATTTCTCAGATTAGTTGCATAAATTAGTGAATGTGATGTAAACAAAGTCGTACAGCGCATTTGGATGTGAAATGGTGGACTGTAGAGAAACATACTGACTCGGACTCTGCTTGGAATGGTGGTGGTAGGAACCAGAGGTCGCAATGTTTACAACATAAATAAAGCTATTTTATTTGCTATCCAAAATGACCACTGAGCCTACATGTCTTCTGAGTTTTTATATGTAAAATAGTGATAAATCTGGGAGAAAAGGTTTCACTTTGTGTACTGTTTGGCCTTTCAGTGCCCTACGCACCTCCATGATTGTATGTTTTAGGCCAAAGCTATCTCAAAACTGTGTCTCAGACATTAGGCGACTATATACTCATAACGTTCAGGTATAGTGACTTTTCGTGAAGTAGCTTTTAGAGCTATTAAACTCTTTGGACGTCTGGTTCCTATCACCACCACTGTGAACAATTGTGACTTAGTAAGTTTCTTTAGAACGGGGCATTTCACACCAAACCACTCTGAATGACTTTGTTTGCACATTAATGGCTTAATTATTACGAAACTTTCGTGAGATTCCCCATTCAAGGGCCTTGTTAAGCTTCTCTTGCCACCTACTTTGCAATGCTAATACTTTCTGAAGGAGGATACTCTACTGCTAATGTTATGAGGAAGTGTAATGAGTTATGTCTTCTGCCCTGAGGCTCCTGAGGCAGGTGACACGGTGGTGTGATTTGGGAACACAAACATTGTGACAGGGTGTGTCATTTATTAGAGAGTAAGTCATAATTACGAGATAAGTCTTAATTAAGAGACTGAATCTCACTATTATGAGATGCTAAGTCATAAATATAAGATACTAAGACATAATTATGAGATAGAATCTTATTATTATGAGAGACTATGTCAAAATTATGAGAGTCTCATTATTCTGAGATGCTAAGTCGTAAATATAGACCCTAAGTCATAATTATGAGAGAACCTTTTCATCATGACAGACTATGTCAAAATTATGAGATAGAATTTCATTATTCTGAGATACTAAGTCATAATTATGGAATAGAGTCTCGTTATTATGAGATACTGAGTAATAATTATGGGATAGAGTCTCATTATTATGAGATACTGAGTCATAATTATGAGACAGAATCTCATTATTATGAGGTGCTAAGTCATATTTATGAGATGGGATCCCATTATTATGAGATACTAAGCCATAAATATGAGATGCTATTTCATAATTATGGTAATCTTTCTCATTATTCTGACTTATTAAACGGCTGTATATATATATATATATATATATATATATATATATATATATATATATATATATATATTGGGCCTCCATACGTGCAGTATGTATGCTCTGTATTAGCCTGGCTCCAGCAGCCATTGTCAGTGACGTCAGAAGCCGGCTGTTGAGAGGGGGGAGCTGCTGTAGCTGCTGCAGAAGCGGACCTCGGTGAAGACAGCGAAGATATGACCGCCAGTGACCCTGTGTGGTAGCCACCGACCCCCCTCACCTTCGCCTACACGTACACGTACTGTTTATTTGTTTTTGTTCACCCCGTAAGCAGATTCCGAGCCAGCTAGGTGACTTAGCTCCGCCTGGTCTTCGAGCAGAGCAGAGCCGCGTCGTCATTAAGCCGGCCAGCGCGTGGCTCGGCTCGGCTGTAATCTCGCCCAAAGCCGCTCGTCTTTCCGAGACATATGGACCAGGCCAAGCCGATGATGGACCAGAAGGGCTCCTCCGGTCCGTGCTGCGCAAACGGACTGCACAAGGCGTTTCGGTCCCAGCTGAGCAATGGAGGTTCGCACAGCCCAAGCGGCGGCGGCGGCAGTCATGACGGTTACCACCACCTTCACTACGACCCCCAGACGAACGGTACAAACGGGTCCCCCGCCAAACGGTGTCGGCTACGGAGACGGCTGGACTCGCTGAGGAAGAACAGACCACGTAAGTGGACACTGGACAGGTCACTGTTTCTTTATTCACCAGCCTCTTTTTTTTTTCGAATTCTCCCGTTCCACCTTAAATGGTGCAGCAGCTGCATTCTGTACGTACATTCTGAATGTAACTGCTGCACCATTTAAGGTGGAACGGGAGAATTCGAATAAGCAACCTGTCACACTGCACGACCTGCGTGTGCTTTATTGCTACGAATGTAAATGTTAATCCGTACGACTGGATAATTATCAGTTTTATCGATTATGTTCCCGTTTAAATGTCCTTTTTTTATGACCACCAGTCATAAACGTTACTGAATGACTCGGGTTACACTTTTACCGGTTTACCGTGAATCTGGCTCCATTAAACATTAACCGAGAACCAAATTTCACTTCATTTTAAAACCGAGGTCATTAATCCGAATCGGTTTCGTTCGTATCTACTTCTGTGTCGTTGTTTTGGTCAGAGGTGTCACGGCTGGTGGAGGCAGTTTGGCCTGTACTGTAAGCTGTGTGTGTGAAAGTCATTCTCCCCTTTTGTTTTTATGAAAGCGTTTGATCTCGCTGCCCGCGCTCTCTGATTGGCCGGCGCCGAGTCAGGAGGTGTCGTCGATATGGCTCCTCTTCGCGCTCGGCCAATCAGCGCTCGACTTCGGCTGTTAAAGGGCCAGCCTGGACCGCCTCCAGAATTATGCAGGATATCTCCTGATTTTCTGCCCCTTTTTCTCCTTCCAAACAAAACTAAAGTCCCGCTCAGCCGCCGGGCGATGTTAGCAGAGGCTACGGGTTTCGTCGCGACACGGTTTATTTTTCTCCAGAGAGGCTTTTTAGCTCTTTTCTTGGGACGCTAGATCCGCTCACACCTGAGCAGCGATTCGCTATGAAGCTGAAAAGCGTTAAGAAGCCAGGTAAGTTGATCTGAACTGAACTGATGCTCCTCATTAGCTTGAAGGGCAACTCCACCAATTTTTGCAACATTTCTGTATAACTCAGTCCTTGGGAGGTAAACAGATTTGTTCAGAGTGGTTTGATGTGGATGGTTCAATGTTGAGAAACTTACAGACTCTGATTTCTTAACAGTGGTGGTGATAGGAACCAGGGGTCACCATGACTACAACACAAATATAGCCTTTTTATTTACTGTCCAAAACTACCAGTGAGCCTATACATGCTATCTGAGTTTTAATATGTACTGTTGATGATGGAAAAATAGAGGGGAATCTGAAAAGATGAGTTTTCTTTGGGGGCCTTTTTGCCTCACAATGCACTGCAGGTGTTCCTCCGCCATGCATGGGCTGAAATAAGTGGATGAAAATAAGCTTTAGGCCAAAATGTGACCACAAAAGTATCATAAGACGGTGTGTCAGACATCAGACATCAGACAGCATATTTCACTTAATGACTTTCTGCAAAGGAGCTATTAGAGATGTTCAAACACTTCAGACGTCTGGTTCCTATCACCACCACTGTGAACAATTCTGACTGTGCAAGATTCTCTAGAACAGAGAGTTTCACACCAGACCACTCTGAAAGCTTTGTTAACATCTCAACCATTTAATTATGTAGAATTTGAAAAATTAGTGGATTCATTTTTAATACTGTGGTTAAAGTCATGGTTTGCAGCAAAGTATGTGGTATTGCATCTTTCCTCCCACAGTGCCACTACAGACTGATGTCACTTGGCGCGTCCCAAGAGGCAGCCAGTGGCCAAACGTTGCCCAAGCACTGCCACTAATTACTAGTTTCTTTAGAAGAATAGTGGTCGCTTTGGTAGAAGCCTATGGGCCAAGCCAGCTGACCAGCTTTCCTCTGCCTCCTAACTTTACTGGCTTGTGTGCGCAGTGAGAATTACTGCTGTTTCCTTTTTATTGTGCAATCCAGAGACTTGGACCTGAGTGGTAAAGCGTGATTGAACTTTTTTCTGTTCAAAGTTGTCCGAGTAGCTTTGTTTAAAATGAGTTTCCTCCGTTCAGCATATTTATCAGTGTCTCAATCTCTGCTTCTGACAAGTCTCTAGCAGTTATAGATTAACTGGACGGGTTACAGTGGCACAGATTGTCATGTCACCAGCAATCCTGCAGTTGGGTTGTGAAAGCGTCCACTTACGAAAGGCATGGCGTCCGAGCCTCAGTGTAACTGCTCAAGTCTCGCCGGTTAACCTAATTCTAAAATCACTTCTGCTCGTGGCCAGTCTGGGTCACACAAAGAGGTCCGCCAGAACTTTGGGGAGACGGCCTTGTTTTGAAGTTGATGTTTCATTTTTGCTGTTAATTTTCTATGAATTAATTAAACGACTAATGAATGTGAAACACCTAAGTATATTTTGCCACAGTGAGCTCAAAGTGTCTCCCTCTGACACTTGATTTGATTTGAATTCCTTAGACCTTTCAGCATTTCTGCCTAATTCCGTTGTTGAGATGTAAACAAGGTAATTTAGGGTGTTTTCCACTGTTGAAAAACTTGCCACCTCATATTTCTTTACAGTGGTGGTGATGGGAACCAGGGGTCACAATGTCTACAACACAGTTACAGCCATTTTATTTACTATCCAAAGCCACCAGTGAACCTACACGAGCCTTCTGAGTTTATATATGTAGTGTTGATGACTGTAAAACACTGATAAACCTGGTAAAAGAGGTTTTCTTTTGGAGCTATTTTGCTCTGTAACCCCTTCCATCTAGCTCTCCTGCCATGTATTTAAAAAAATACATTTTAGGCCCAAAATGCTCAGAACTATCGCTAAACAATGTCTCGACTGTCATGCAGTGCATTTGCTACCATTTCCATTAACAGATTTCTAGCTTTCAGTGGCATTAAACACTTTGGACGTCTGGTTCCTATCACCGCCACTGTGAACAGTTCTGACCTGGTAAATTTCTCTAGAATGAAGCGTTTCACACCAGACCACTCTGAATGACTTCGTTTGCGTCTCAGCTACTTAATTATGAGGAAATTAAAAAAATCGGTGGGATTCCTCCTTAAAGTGAAAAGGCTAGTAAATGATTTTTGTCCGCGTCCAAAAATTAATGTGTTATAATGGAACAAATGTAGCACCTCTTTCTTTCCATGCATCTTAAAGACAAACAGCAGTATGGAGCACTTCATGCCAAACGGCTCTGAATTAACATATTGGAACTCGTTTGGCCCAAAGGTGGTTTAAACAGGTAAACTGTGAGTCCTGCGACAGCAAGGAGATAAAATAGGGGGCTCTTGGCTTTATTCCCAAGGTAGGACGTCGGTCAGTTGTACTGTTCTTGCAGAGAACACTGACAAGATCTAAGTAGCTCTGTCTTTACAGCTCCTGTGAACCTTACCAAGGATGTTCAGACCACATCCATTCACACAGAAAAACTTTGTTTCACAGGAAGGCATAGTTAATAGTGTAGAGCCCAGACCGATTCTGGCAGTCGTGGACTGGAGGTTAGGGAACCAGTCCTGTGACCGGAAGGTCGCCGGTTTGGTCCCCTAAGCCAACAGTACGTGACTGAAGTGCCCTTGAGCAAGGCACCTAACCCCCAGCTGCTCCCTGGGCGCTGTGGATAGGGCTGCCCACCACTCTGGGCAAGTGTGCTCACTGCCCCCTAGTGTATGTGGTGTTTCACTGCACGGATGGGTTAAAATGCGGAGGTGAAATTTCCCCACTGTGGGACTAATAAGGGTCAATTAATTACTTACTTAATTAATATATAATTTAAATGGGATAAAAGCTTTAAAGTATTGTTAACATCAACATGTTAACATATTACATCTTTTAATTGGGCAGAGTTCAGTTATTGTGTGTGCTTCATTCGGAATCTTCAACTCTTTCTTTCTTTCTTTTTCTTCCTTTCTTATGCTGTGTGTCTTTTTTGTCTGTCTCTATTTCTTTCTGTTTTTTTCTATCTCTTTTTCTCCTTTTTTTCTATTCTCTCTCCTTTTTTCGTTTCTCATGCCCTGTCTTGCTTCTCTATTTCTTTTTCTTTCTCTAATACATCATCTCTTATATTTTCTTTCTTTTTTATTTTTCGTACTTTCCCCAATACCATATCTCTCTCTCTCTCTCTCTCTTACTTTCTCTTTCTACTTTTGTTCTGTTCTTCTTTCTTTCATTCTTTCTCATGCCTTCTCTCTCTGTCACTCACTCACTCACTCTCTCTCTCTCTCTCTCTCTCTCTCTCTCTCTCTCTCTCTCTCTTTCTTTCTTTTTTTGCTCATACCCATTTTTTTCTACCTCTCGTACCCACCCCCCTCCCACCCCCTGTCCGCCTCTCTCTCTCTCTCTCTCTCTTTCTCTCTCTGTCTCTCTCTCTCTCTCTCTCTCTCTCTCTCTGGGTAAGCAGTTGCAGTGCTTTCCAACACTCTGTGCCTGGCATGAACACAGACTCCTGCCAGTTTCTCTCTCTCTCTCTCTCTCTCTCTCTCTCTCTCTCGCCAATTTGGGGGGTGGGGGTGTAAACAGACCTTTCACCCACATGGGCGGTGCGCCTCGTCTCATCGTCAGCGTGTCACACCACCATGCTCCCTGTGCCAGGTCACTCTCCACGGCTTCAGGCCGTTGACCCCCCAGCCTGACCCACACGCTCCAAACCTGCTGCAGCTACTCTGAACATTGTTATCACAACACTGAAGCCACATGTGATTGCTTCATTATTCCAGTTGCGCAAAGATGTTCCTGTCAGCTCTGCAGCTCCTTACATTTACAGCAGTTCAGACGTTCTAAACCATAACAGCCCAAGGTCGTCTGGACGTCTGACCATTTAGTTAAAGGTCTAAACATTTATAGTCATACTGATACTCAATTTTAGGTCTGTGTGTGCAAAAAGAGAGATTATAGGAAGAAATTACCTGATATATTTAACATTTTTATCAAGAATATTTAAAATTTTGTAGGTCGCTTTCTAAACAAAATATTATATTAAATGCAAATCTAAACGTATTACTGTTTTATTTTAATGCATTTTAATAATATGAAATTAAACATACTTTATTTTAGTCAGATGTTGAATTATATTAATCAGTTATATTGATTAT